CAGATGGAAACAGTGAACGACTTTATTTTCTTGGGCTCCAAAATCACTGCAGATGGTGACAGCAGCCATGAAATTATAAGACACTTGCTCCTTGGAAGAAAAGCTATGACCAACCTAGACAGCAGAGACATTACTTTGCTAACAAAGGTCCGTCTAATCAAGGCTATGGTTTTTCCAGTAGTCATGTATGGATGTGAAAGTTGGACTATAAAGCTGAGTGCCGTAGAACTGACGCTTTTGAACTGTGTTGTTGGAAAGACTCTTGAGAGTCCCTTGGACTGCAAGGAGCTCCAACCAGTCAATCCTAAAGGAAATCAGTCCTGAATATTCATTGGAAGGACTGATGCTGAAACTCCAATACTTTGGATACCTGATGTGAAGAACTTTCTCCTTGGAAAAGACCCTGATGCTGGGCAACAATGAAGATGGGAGAAGGGGACAACAGAGGATGAGATGGTTGGATGCCATCACCAATTCGATGGACATGAGTTTGAGCAAGTTTTGGGAGTTGGTAATGGACAGGGAAGCCTGGTGTGCTGCAGTCCATGGGGTTGCAAAGAGTTGGACATGAATGAGAGACTGAACTGACTGATTTAGGTGGCACCTATTTGTAAACACAAATGCCCCAGTAAAAGGAAGGCAGAGGGTGATAAGATCACGGAAACACAGGTTTCAGAGATGTGCTTTTAAAATACAGGAGCCACAAGTCAAGGAATACTGGCTACTAGAAGCTGAAAAAAGCAAAGAAATGGGACTTCCTCTCAGAGTCTCCAGAAGTAATCAGAACTCAGAAAAGCAGTTAAATGAGCTGAACTATTTTTGCTTTATGCTGTCTACAGCAGTGTAAAATAAGAATACAAACCAGACAAGTACCACTTCTGCATTCATAGGGAATAAAATCCTGAACCCTGGATAAGCAGCTAAGTGGGTCACATAGGCTTAAGAGGTATTTCAACTCAAGTGGTACTAGGCTGCATATTATCCATTGTGTGTGTGTGTGAATATAATATTTTAAATATATTATATATTGCATATTAAAGGTAGTCTAGCTTCCACGGGAAAGAAATTGAAAAGCACAAAGAGTCCTATGTAGTTAACATCAGTAATTTATATTCATTATCTCATTTGATCCTCACAACTTTAGGAAGCAGTCACGTCTGGTACTGAATTCAATTCTGCAGTGGAAAAAGCAGCGGCTGAGAGGTTGATTTGCCCAGTTAAAGGTTAGTAAATGGCTCCTACTCCGATATCTTTCTACTAGATTATTTTACCTCGACAACAGCAACCGATCTACGTCTAGAAGTTAATATTAACTTCTAAAATAACTTCAAGTTAGAAAAGAAAACAAGACCAACATTTTACAAGCAATACCATATTTTAATTTTACGTGCATAGAAACCTAATGTCACACGCAAGTGGTTAGAAAGAAGCTGAAGAGAACACGTAGACGAGTAATGTGTTTCTCCGCAAGAAAATGAGTATCTACCCTTCTAGGTGTTGCTGTGTGGATTAAATGACATAATGCACATAAAGTGCTTATCAGAGCAGCTAGTCTCACAGTTCGTACTATATACTCAAGGATGTCTCTTACCAGAGGAGAATCTGCTTTTCCCGAAAATTAACCAACCCAGGAGGTGGGTAGAAAAGAATGTGAGGGGAGGGAGAGCGGGTAGGGGAAAAATAGGTCCCAGCTACCTCTCCTTGAACACTTGACAAACAGGCGCTTAGTTTTTACCCAAACAGGACGGCTTCGGCGACACCAACCTAACCCTCAGAAGGTCGGCGGAGCAGTGACGGCATGGATATGACCCAGGGGCTCGGATCACTGCACCAGAAGTCCCAACACGTGGCTCCCTCCTCTCACCGCCTCCCCTAATTTCCCTCTGCCCCTAGAGCTACAGGCTCAGCGACTTCAGCTTTCTAGAGTCAACTGGCACTGTCGCCGGCCGTCAAGATAGCTGCCCATCCCAAGAACTTTACCCACCCCAAGCCTGGAAAATATACCTGACCGGGAAGCCCACGACTGGTTCGGGAACGAACTCGAGCACAGACTCGGAGCCTAGCGTACGACCGGAACTCCACCCTCCAATTCTCTGATTGGATAAACGCGCAAAGGGGCTCGCTGAGGATTGGTCAACAGTAGAGAGGCGGGCCATTGCCCAGGGCGGGGACAGAGGTGGGGCGGGGAGGTGTGAAGAAACGCCGGGAGTTGGCCTCTTTCCGGATTGGACGAAAGCTAGACATCTGCGCAGACGTAGACCCAGCTTCCGTGTAGCGACGGGCAACATCGCCCTTTACGCTACGGAAGTACGTTCCGTTAGCGGAAGTTTTAATGACTCATTGGTTGTAACGAAGGCGTAAGTCTCCTGGCGGCGTGTCCAAGAAAGGGCAAGAAGAAAGCGAGTTCCGCCTCTTCCTCGGGCGACTGGGTCCTTCCGTTTGACAGAGGGCGACGTGAGTTCCTTTCAGAGTTTAGACGCTAGAACTGCCACCGAGCCAGACTCGGGTAGACAGCTGGGACGTTGACCAGTAAGTTTCTGCGGGTGAGAAATACTTAGTAGTTCGAATGGGGCCCTGAAACAGCCACATACACTCGGAACTTTTAAATAATCACTTCAGTGTTGGAACGCAGAGCAATCAGGCCTTTTCGCGGTCTTTGACTTGGCTGTGTCATTGGCTGAAAAAGTTATCAATTTGAACGTAGCTCCGCGTCCACCCCAGGCAATCCTGGGATTTGTGGTCCTGGGCGCAAGTGTCCCATAGCTTTGAATGTGGTTGTTATTGCTACTTCTTCCATGTTAACAACCGCTGATAGTTACTGTGGTTTTCTGGTTTTCCGTTGTCTTTCTTATCATTTCGCTTATCAGGAGTATTAAAGCCAAAGGACACTTCGGAAAACTAGAAGGACTTTATGTAAAGATAAATACTAGTATTTAAAACATTTCACTACTGTGCCTCTGCTGATGCTTAGTTGCTTCAGTCGTGTCTGACTCTGTGCGACCCAATGGACTGTAACCCGCCAGGCTCCTCTGTCCATGGGATCCTCCAAGCAAGAATGCTGGAGTGGGTTGCCATGCTCTCCTCCGGGGCATCTTTCCAACCCAGGGATCGAACCCGGGTCTCCTGCATTGCAGGCCGATTCTTTACTACTAAGCCACCAGGGAACCTAGATGCTCGTTATTAACATACAAAGTGGATAGTGAAAGTCTTGGTTTTTTGCTTTAAAGCAAAATGGTATTTGATTTTCATGTTCGTGTTCACTCGACAATATTTGAAAAGTTCTTTAAATTTGACAGTTATATATACTATTTTGTCTGTTTACGTAAATCAAGTGTTGATATAAAAAGCAGAACTGGCTACTGTGTTGATAGGAAAATAATGCTGTAGTTGAAATGTCAAACATGACCAATTTCAGGATGCGCACACACACTGTATATTATTCAAGATTGTATTATGAGGTCCATTTTCAGTCTTAATAGAAACATGCTGGTTTAAGGCAGAGTTTCCTTGGTTTTAGGACTTCCCTGGTGGCTCAGGTGGTAGAGCATTTGCCTACAATGCGGGAGAGCCGGGTTCGATTCCTGGGTCCGGAAGAGCCTCTGGCAAAGGAAATGACAACCCACTCCAGTACTCTTGCCTGGAAAATCTCATGGATGGAGGAGCATGTTAGGTCCATGGGGTTGCAAAGAGTCGAACACGACTGAGTGACTTCATTTCACTTCCTTGGTTTTATTGAATCATGAACTCTTTTCACGTCTGTGAGCACATTTAGTAATATTTCATTGCTTTGTGTTTAGCAAAAGTGAAAATCTGTAAATACCAAAAGCTTTTCTGAGTGGCCCTTTTCAGCATTTTTTTTTTCTATTTAATATGTAATACAAACATTCATACGTGTAAGAAAAAACAGGGCTTGTTGCTGGACAAAAAATTAAGTACAATTCAGAGGATTTAAGCCAAGCAGAAACTGCTTTTATGACTGATGCTTGGAAATAATTGTTTTACAATTTTTTGTGTCTTGTAAGTGATGACAGAAGGTCTCATGTTTTCTTTGTAAATGAAACATGAGAAACATAAGTGTTTTTTTTTTTCTATAATTCTCAGTACATATAGAGCCAAACAGAGTATAACCACACTGTGTTTTTCCTTAAAATATTTGATATGATGTACTCAGTGAAACATATTGGTATGAAAATCACCATCAGACAAAGATGTAAATTTGTTAGTTTTAATGTCTTCCATTAACTAACATTTTGAAAATATTTTTCCTTTTGCCCCCTATTTTAAATCAGTGATCCATTTGGGATACTTATTAAATTTGTATTACTAAGAATAAAAATTGCAGATATCAAGACTGCTACTATGGTTAGCATGGTTCAGCAGAGTGACAAACCAACTGAATAACTGAATCCTGGGCACATTTGGCTGATCTGTATTAACTGTACTAGGTGTTCACTTTTTTGGAGTATTTTGGAAGCTCTCAAAGTGTTCCATTTAAAGAGAAAACATCTTGAATAGTTTTTCTTTTTTAAACTGAGAATTTAAAAATAGAAATTGCAGCAGTCACCACTACTTCCCTTTAACCCCGGAATCATCTTTGTACACCATCTGTTGGGAAATCGTTTTAAGAAATGACCTCAAAGAGAAGTGCAAGATGACTTTTGAGATACAGGAAACGAATATTACAATCCCTGGTTGTGTTTACTTTTTGAAACTATTTATTTATTTGTTTATTTATTTGGCTGCCCTGAGTCTTAGTCATGACAGGAGGGACCTTTTAGTTGCAGTGCACGGGATCTATTGCCCTGACCAGGTCAAACTGGGCCCCCTGCATCAGGAGCATGGAGTCCCAGCCACTGGACCACCAGGGACAGTTCCTGTGTTTACTTTTTAATAACAACACTTTTTTTAAAAATCTTTTTTTGTTTTTTGTTCTTTTCCTTTTTTCAAACCCTTGTGTCCAGGACTGACTTTCAGTAAATCACAGCAAGGGAGCTGCTCTGCCGCATATGAAACCCCAACCCAGAGGCAGATCATCTGCCAATGCTTTAGCACCAGGTTCCCCACAAACCTGTGGTGGTGACGGGCGAGGGGGCGGCCGCCTTCCTGGCCGTGCCCCATGTCTCAGGACGAAAGGCTTTCTGCACCAGACCCGGTCCTAATGCATGACCTGGTCCCAACATGCAGCGGGGCACGCCATGCTGTGTACCTAGGGATGCAGGCGGCAGGCCGCCGGCAGGGATGGCAGAGGACTGGCTATCCGAGGCCAGCTGAGGATTCCGAGGCCAACCGAGGATTCCCAGTGCTGCCATATCGTTCTGCCTGGGTGGGATTCTGACTTGGAGGCATTCAGTCATAATCCCACAGATGGTAGCTTTGACCCATTGACCCCTCAGCCAAGCACATACACCAAATGTCTGAACCCGCAGTTCCTCTCCTACTGAGCAGGATTACCATGCCAACAACACATCAGCAGTAGGGTAAAACTAACCTGTCTCACGACTGTGGCCTGCAAAGGTGGTGCACCCCACCCCGCCCCCTCACAGGGACGGGGTGGTGGGGCGCCGGGGGCCTCCCACTTATTCTACACCCCTCATTTCTCTTCACCATGCCAGACTAGAATCAGTCTCAACAGGGTTTTCTCTTCCTGCTGATTCGGCCAAGCCTATTCCCTTAGCTGTGGTTTCGCTCGATAGTAGGTAGGGACAGTGGGAATCTCATAACACTTTTCTTTATATATATGTATTTTTAAAAATTTTGAACATGATATAGCAGGATAAACTTTGAAACCCAACCACATATATGTATATGTTTACATATGTATGAGTGGTAAAAAAAAAATTATTGAGAAATACATGATCAAAAAACTCTGAAGTGTTAAAGAAAAAAATTATTCATGACACTTTTTAAGAAGGTAAGGCAGACTTTCTTCAAGGTCGGTACTGTGGTAGGGTTCTGTAAAAAGGGAGAGAGATTAGAGTCAATTCTGAGTTCAACAGAGAAAGCAGGAATTTATAGCCAGGGGATAGGTGGGCAGTGGGTGGAAGTTTACTATGAGGAAATATCAGGGTTAGGGGGGATTATTGCTAGTTCTTACTAAAAGTTGGTAGGTGTAATCAGACATCACCTGGGGGATAGTGAAGGGTGAGGCACTCAATCAGATATTGAGAGAGGGTGATTCTGGTTTAACTGCCTTAGCAGGATTCTTGCTAAAGGATTCTTGAACACTGCAAGGAAGGACATGGGGCTGAAGGTCAAGCCTAGTCAAAAGAGCACACATATACATACACTCCACACATAGTCTCACTCCTGTTGTTATTTAGTCATGAAGTCTTGTCCAACTCTTTGTGGCTCCATGGATTGTGCAAGGAATTGACTTAGACAATTGTGGGGGCTGGCTGGAAGACAAGTCTGAAATCTGTAGAGAAGTGTGTAAGGAGAAGGAATCTGGAACTCTCAGGCATGAGCTGAAGTTGCAATCCACAGCCAGAATTTCTTCCTAGTAACCTCAGTTCTGCTCTGAAAGCCCTTCAACTAATTGAATTGGGCCTGGCTAGATTATCTAGAATAACCTTTCTTTAAAGTCTACTGATATTGAACAGTAATTACATCTACAAAATACCTTCACGGCAGCACACAGATAAAGAACTTCAGATCTTTGAGAGTTGGAGTTCAGGCTTGGAGCTCATTCCCAGAAACTATGTTTGCCGTTGGAGAAGGAAATGGCAACCCACTCCAGTATTCTTGCCTGGAGAATCCCATGGATGGAGGAGCCTGGTGGGCTGCAGTCCATGGGGTCGCAAAGAGTTGGACACGACTGAGTGACTTCACTTTCACTTTCATGTTTGCTGTTGTGTCTTGTATTTTGGGAAGAGGGTTAGTATAAGCACACAGGATGTACAAATCAATTCCATTTCCACTCTCTGGTAAAGTGCGTCTAAAAGGCATGACTCTGCCTTCAAACTCCATTCCAGCCTGTTTCTCTAACTTCCTGCCTCTTTGTCTATTCCTTGAGATGTTGGCCTGACAGCCTACGTTTGAAGCCTTTGGCTTGATTCCCTAGCACCAGGAATATGTTGTCC